AAAGAAACATGGAGGAGAAGCGGATACAAAAGAACAAAGTGTACGTGGCACATGTTTGTTACAAAATCTCATCTCTTTTTACCAGTAATTATACTGGTTATTTGTAAAAATACCATATGGTAGTGTTCACTACTAGAATCAAGTATTTGTTTTTTAATTAATTAAAAAATAAGCAAAATAGTAATGGTAGTATTAGTAGTAATATCAGTAGTAATATTAGTAGTAGTAAAACTCGTCAACAAACTCAGTGGCTAAAAAGAAACTAATTATATCGGGAAGAAGAAGAAGAAGTTAATTGATTAAAGCCTTAGACAAAATTTGGCTACTTTACATGTTGGCTGACCAGCACAGCCCTCAAGTATGTACAGAATAAATTCATATGAAAGACTTAATATGATATTTTTGCCATAGCAAATATAATCATTCAGACATCTATAAAACACGAAATAATCGAGCAAGGAATATCTTTTTCGATAAATTCCCCTTCTGGCTCTACAATTATATATATATGTTTATATACACAGAATATTCCAGATTAGTAGTCAGTAAAAATATTTGTATTTTTTTAAATAACATCAATTTGTAAGGTAAGATCACAGTGGAATGTGTGTCGGTGGCACAGTGGTTAGGATGCTCGCCGACCATGAACATGGTCCGGGGTTCGATCCCAGACCGACGTACTCCTTTACCTTGCTAAACCAGTAATAAGACTGGTAAAGAGGAAAGGTTTGGCATGAAACTAGCAACCCCATCCTGTAAAATTAAACACTGCTACAGAAACTTCAAGTTACTAGCTTGAGGCCCTATGTGTCCACCAGGGAACGTGAAGGAAATAAAAAAGATGCTCATATTATAGTTATAGTAATAACGATATAGTAGCGAATAGAATATCAACTAAAATAGGGAAAATTCCACAAAAATTCAGGATCATTCAAAACTAGATGGTCAAGGTAATGATAATGTCTGAACTAAAATCTTGTGGATGCATAAATTAGGCTTGTTAATATCGATCCCCAAAGCCTCAGCAATATTTCAGGGTCATTTACCGCATACCTACGAATCTCAATTTTGCCTTAAGATTTCGACTACTAAATATTGCTGAGGCTGTGGGGATCCATATTCACAATCCTAACTTATGCATCCAAAAGAAGTTAGTTCAGACATTATCATTACCTTGACAATCTGGGTTTGAATGATCCTCAATTTTTGTGAAATTTTCCTAATTTTAGTTGATATTTTATTTGCTACTATATCTTTATTATTATAATTTAAGCATCTTTAATGAACTGTAATTCCACTGTGATCATACTTTACAAATCGACATTATTTAAAAATCACTAATATTGTTATTGACTACTAATGTAGAATATTCTATGTATATAAACATATATCTAATTGGTTGCAGGATTTCATCATGAGCTGACATTGGTTAGAGAACCATTGGAAAACCAGTACTCCCAGGTTTTCCAATGGTTCTCTAATCAATGTCAGCTCATGATGAAATCCTGTAACCAATCAACCAAATCCCTACAAACCAACACTTGAATATCAATGAGATGCTCACTGATGACTGGCCCTATTCAGGTGGGTAGTTACCTGGGGTTCCAGTGGGAAGCCGTGACCAGTAGGGTGCATCAGGTCGAGTGTGAGGACAAGTACGCGCCGAAGACATTGGCTAGCGGTTGCGCTACATCGTGAATTGGCAGGAGTTAGAATTCATGAACTAGCCATTGGATTGGGTCCCAGTGGCTTAATGGTCTACGAGCTAGCTAGCCTTGTAACCAGAAAGTCCTGGGTTCGAACCTCACTGTGGTGGGTGCGTACTGATGAAGAGTTCCAAACTAGGACGAAACAGCTGTCCAGTACTCCCAGGTTTTCCAATGGTTCTCTAACTAATACCAGCTCATGATGAAATCCTGAAACCAATCAACCAAATTTATCGAAAAGGACGTTCTTTACTCGATTATTTTGTGATATTTTTGTGTATCGTCGAATCGCAAGCACATGCATAAAAAGAGGACTTAATTTTGACTATTAAAAGAAAAAAGAAATAGTTTACCCTACTGAAAAGAAACTACTAGATATTCTGAATATATGCATACCTTTTTATTGATGAATAAGCCAAACGGATAAAAAAGGAAGAAAAGTTAAAAAGGATATATCGTAGAGAACAGCAATTTTCCTAAATTGTTCGACTGCATGTTTCATCATCATCGTCACCATTAATCAAAATTAGATGACTAGTACACATTAGCCTAGTCGACTGGTGAAAGTGAAGGTTCATGGCCAAGCACGCATACCATTTTTTCCTTATAGCTTGACTCCACACAGTATTTTGGATACAAGTATGGAATTTTCAGTATTTGATATCGATAGCCCAAATTTAGCAGGCCGACAATTGATATCAGGTGTGCGCCGGTCAGGGATCGAACCCCGGACCATTTGTATGGTCAGAGAGCGTCTTAACTGGTGTGCCGCAGACGCGCGTGTGCTAGACTAGTCGTGCCTGACGGTCAATTAGTTGAGCACACATTGATGTTCAGTAGTACCGATCTTGAAATATTTTGAATAAAGCGAGAACAACATTGATTTGTGCAGATAACATGGTACCATCATTTATTTCGTGGCTTTCGTGTGCTTACAGCCTAAATAATTTTCAGGTTTAAGTACAAAACGTTTTAACGTACTTGCAAATTTATATGTGACAGAAGTTTCACAACTAGTAAACAGTGCTCAGAAAATTGCGCTTATATAGTTTTTACACAGGCAGTTCAAGTTAAAAAATAATAAAAAATGTATGTATATAATGGTAAGAGATGTGCGTTGGATGCATAGTGACTAATAAGTTAGGTAACAGTGTACTGAGTTGAACTCAAATCATAGAAACAAGAGACAAACAAAATTACAGATTATAAAAGGAGGGTGAGGTTAAAGACAAATACTTGGTATTTTCGACAACCTGAATGTTGTTTTATTTTGGCTTACTAATGGTTTCTGTTTCTCCAAATTGAATAAGTGTATCCGACATTGTAAAGTAAGATACTCATATTATTACACTATTGTATCAGTCATACTTATCACATTCTCTTCTACTACTAAGATATCTACAATCTTGGGAGTCAAAGTATGGTTAGGTTTTAATAACTTACAAAATAGTTTAAGCAAATGTATATTTGCGATAATATCCTACGACTGCTTATGATAAATTATTATACATTAAAATAGTTCAATAAATGAGAATATAAGTAAGTAAACTAGTGCATAATATAAGGAAAAATAACAGTAAAGAAAGTCTACGAGTGTTCATGTATTCTGAGTAGTCAGTCCTTGTGAATATTTGTGTAAGCCAATAGTGAAAAAACACACAAAAATAATATTCACAATCACTCAGAATAAACTCAAGAGAAAATTGTCCAAATAATTCCCGTTATCAAAAATTTTCAACCAAACTAATACTCACGGAACACCTTTTCCAGATCACTTTCTTTCCACTGGCATCTATCATCTGCCCAGATACGCTTTTAACTGTAAAGGCGACTGCAGTGACAAAAACTTAACCCGTATAGGATTAAGATTTACACACTGGTCAACGCACAATTAAACTACTGAAATTAGTGAACAGATCGATTCGACACTAGGTATTAACTAGTGTCATGTGTCTAGTCATTCATTTGGTGCAGGATGAATCTTATCAATCACATTTTCGATGTGATCGCTATTAAAGGTGGATTTACATCACGGTACACTGTGAATTGTTGTTGTTACGTGGTGAAATCTATAGCACTTACGTATGCAAGTTCAAATCCACAAAGCTTATCATACATATAATTATAAATCATACAATTTATATAGTCAAATAGAATAATCATATGGTGGACCTGTAGAACTGACTATTTTCAATGTAGATTTCATTAAAACCGGCATCAGGTAAACCGAACCAAAAGACACTGAATAGCTGTTTCGTTCAACTTTAGGACTTTTCGACAGCATGTAGCCATGACTGATTGTAAGATGAAAGTCTTGCAGTTCCGTTTAGTAATAGTGACTAAATTATTCACTGAGTCGAATTGAAAAGTGAATGCTTACTGATGACATTCTCTAGAGTTGACACTGCATAGCGAAAAGCATACAACTTATTGGCTGGATGGTTAACGTACTTGGTTCATGAACTAAAAGTCTTGGCTTAGACAACTTGTTAGCCGATGAGTGTATAATGCTGAAACGTAGCAGACTAGGGAGAAATATATATATGTATATGCAGCACTCTTTAGTTTTCCAGTGGTACTCAGTCAGTGATAAAATCTAGGAATAAAGTGAATTAGCATTATTAAGGAAGGCCCAAGTGGTCAAGTGGATAACTCTTTGGCCTTTGAAACTATGGGCACTGGGTTCGAGCCTCTGTGGGAACATCATCATTCACTGATGAATGCAGGTACTTCCAGATTACGAGGCCAAATAGGATGAAATGTGCATCCCGGATTCCACTGCTAGTCACCATCCACCAATTAAATACTAATTAAATGCCCAGACATTGTCGAAGCATCTACACAAGAAGCCAACATGTCAACCTGAGACCGAGCACTTCGGTCCAATCAATCGACGGGAAAATCTAAAATTACATTAAGTTTTCTAAATGCCTATTGAAATGTTAAACTTTGCGCGAACAACCAGTAGAGAATTGATTTAACAGCTGTAATTGTTCATCCGGTAGAAATAATACGCTGTTAAATGGTTAGAATTTAAATAAGCGAAAGAGTTTACAAACCTCTATTTTCCAGGAGACCTTGACAGTAACAAATTATAAGCCATTTAACTTTTAAAGAAGAGAAAAGTTGATTGGCAACATATAAACACGTATAAACTACTTTTAGACAGTGTGAAAAACCCAAGAAACTCCGACTGAATGAATATTTTAGACAGATCCTCTCTAAATGCACTGTTACATAATCCAATTCATAAATATTTTCAATTACTAGATTAAAGCAGCTTTATTGACTTACCATCTGTTGAATACAAGTAGTTTGTAAATGATGCTAAATGCGAAGCAGCGATTAAACCAGGATGTATAGTCTGTTTATTGAATGGTAGAAAATCCAATAGAATCCATATGTTTAGCTTCTGCCGCCTCCAGAAACTACATATGATACCTAATTCTTCAAAGTAAAGTATATTTGATTGTAATGGAATATATCGTCGAATTTGATTAATTCCACAAATAAAGTAAATATCTGTCTGATTGTTTATGCAGTTCTCTGATGTTTGCGATGAAAGTGATAACGAGGGAATTTTGAAAGCTGATGTAATTGTGAATGTTGGATATGGAGTTTTCCATTCCAGAATTTCAGAAGATTGTTTTGCCTCACACAGACTGTTCATGTATATAATGTTCCTGATGAAGGGGAAGAAGAATTTGTCTATACTCGCAATCAACTAACTTATTCAAAAAATTGAGATATGGATAAATTTATCTGAATCACAAATGGTGGTATAATGCTCACCAATCTCTCATGCGGTCAAGGTTCAATTACTGGCAAACGCACTCTTAAACCTCGCTTAATTTACCAGTCGGCAGTAAACTCGAAAAAGAAAGAAGGTTGGACATGAGTACTACAAAAACACCCCGCTGTTGAAATTTCGAAGCCCAAAGCTTGAAGCCATGTGTTCCAGTCGGATCACAAATGGATGAAACAGACTCATCGATGATGGCGCTAAATTATGTAGATACAACTTTGTGTTCATCGATTCACTAAGTAAAATGAACGGACTTGCAACTGCACATCAACTACACTTGTATAAATCGAGATATTACTTTAAATTAAGTAAAGGAATAATAGATTAATACTGATTATGGAAAATATTTTATAGAATTTCCGGACAGAATGGAACCAACGTGCATGGATGTGTTACTTGAATTTCTTTTGCACTTGAATGGACACAGATTAGGAAAACAGTTGGAGTGGTTACCTCTGACAACGTTAGTTATCAGTTTTCAACCCAATTCGCCAAAACTGCCAGTTTCGATCTCTAGTGAACAGTGTCAAACTAGTTTTGCAGTGAAAAAAATAAGTAAATAACTCCCTAACCAATCTTGGTTTTTTGCTAAAATCCACTATGGAAAGGTCATCAGTTGTAGGTAATACAGTCCTACTCTTAGGAAAAAATGAAGACATAAATGTTGGCAAACACACCAGAAATAATACTGGTAAAGAGGAAAGGTTGGGCATGAGGTTAGCAACCCCATCCTGTAAAAATTAAACACTGCTACAGAAACTTCAAGTTACTAGCTTGAGGCCCTATGTTTCACTGGGAACGTGAAGGAAAAAAACACCAGAAAACAGAGTGAAGATGGCTTTTTCATTACCACCGACCCTATTTTGCCGTTTAGGATCTATTTTCATTTATGTCTAGCACCTTTTTAAACAACAATGAGATGGTGACGGTCATTATGTTTGTCTGCAAATTACGTTTAAAAGTGGATTAGTTTTTTATCACATCTGATTCAGTGAATAATAACTTTTCTAAGCTGATTTCTGAGAATCCTCTTAAGTTGCTACTTACACATACACAGGTTAGGTGTAAATTTTTATCTGTAATTCATTATTTAACCTGGAAATCGCTTACGCTCTGTTCTCAGAGCAGGAAGGAATCTCTAATGTACGTATTATTTCTTTGCCTACACTTTTAATGGTCATTTTATAAGATAAAAAAACTTGCACGTAGTACATTGGCACTTTTCATTATCCTTTGAAAGTGAAAGAAATCAGTAGTATCATACGAGTGTTTTTCATCCGATCTCATACATAATAATTAGATTCTTTATGAATAAGTAGAATGATCAGCTTTGTTCCCGATTCTTAAGGTGGATTTCAGTCTAAATCCTCTGAAAAGCATACTGTTATACCTAGCTGGTATGAAATTAGTACTCATTATTTCCTTAGGCCTTTAAGAAACCAATGAATTTCTACAATTTCTGTGAGTGATAAAAAATGTGTTGTCAGTGTGCTCTGTGTCAAATGTTGACTAATCTTGGATATCAGTGGTTCTCTGACTTCTTCCATAGATATTCTAATAAGGTCAGTAAATACATGTAGGAACTTCGAAAGAGTCAACGGACAACATTTATATGTTGTACTTATATTTTTTCAATTACTGTGGTATATCTGTGTGCGACCGTCTTCATAATGTGAAACCTGTAGCTAGACAATGTTAGAGAGAAGTATGATATCAGTCGACAGAAAGTTAATATTTCTACAGTCACATAGATGCTGTCACTTACCGATGCATGTAGCGAAGGGAATACTGCTGTATTTAGCAATTTATCAAAACAATTTATTAATAAAACAAAGATTTACTAGAACAAAATGTAGAATATAATTTACAGTGTTCACAAATTTTAAATGTGACTGTATTACACGTAACCACAGCCATTCCAATCACTTCAGCACCAGCTAAGTACTGTCTGATTCGTTTTGAAAATTTACCGTATTTCATGTAGACGATAAAGTAATCTGCATAGCCACTGCTGTGGCATGACGAATAGGTTTGTTAATTATCATCTATTCTGCGAAAAACTAAAGGGCACTAAAACAGCCAAGAAGTTCAAGAAGAGAGTAAACTGGAGAATTCTGAAATCCAATATGATGCCATAACACTATACAATGATTGAGTATCAGTAAGGTCACCACGAAATGATGTGTTATGAAGTATTGCTTTAACAAAATTATGTAGCATTATGGTCTCCTTACTAATAATTTTACGTTACACGATGGTTTGCCACTTGACGATAGCGACTTTTGTGCTTCACAGAACGAATTTCACGAAAACATTACAAAATATGACATAATTTTCTGTAGAGGAGAAAATTATCACAACCATTAACAGTGATAAGCATTTTTAGGTTTTCTTTATTTTCCTATTTAATAACAGATATAATATGTCAATAAAAATAAAAAGTTTGATCCCAGACATACACTAAACTTACCCCATAGAAAAATATATGCTCGAATTTTCAGTGAACATTAGCTTTCCGAAATCATAAAAAGAACTGGGTTTGTAATCTTAAAAAAGAAAATGATTATTGAATGTTATTACCTCCTCTGTATCTGCAAGGTGAAATGTCAAGTTTAAAGCTGAAGCCGTACAATAATCCAAAAAGAAGTTCGAATACAACAGTTTCATATCTTGCCATGCCATCAAAACATCTTGATTTCAGAGATTACACGGGAACAGAACAAATGCACTGTCAGCCTAAATGATGAAAAACCTATGTAGCTTTATAAATTAATACACTTTACCATCTGAAAATAAAATCCTCCCAACAATAAACCATAATTATGTAGTGTAAAATGAAAAATTATATATAGTCCAGTTGTAGGCTGAGTTACTTTTATGCTTTAGCATAGGTAACATGTAATATTACCGGACTACGGAAATGCGAACTCATGGTGTTTCATAACAGAATATGAACAATTAGGCGAAAAAGCCATATGAAATGTCGAACTTACACTTTATTTGCTTTAACATAAACACAACAATGCAGAAAAAAGGAATGGATTTGTAGCTGGATAATCGAAAACATAATGCCAAGTTTGAAAAATTGCTGCACCTTGAGAAAGTAAAACAAAACCTTAAGGTCATCGGTAAAATAATTTTCCGGAATATATTATATTTTATTTATACTTGAAAACTAAAACTCTCACAGTTTCTTGAACATGATGAACTTTACAAAATTATGTGGCTTTTCAAGAGGTAGTCGAACGCAGCTGTTTATTTTTCGGCCCGATGTAACTCAGGACTTTGCCGGTTGTCAGCAATGGGTGCAAGAACACTGCGATTGCCAATCATTACTGACATCAAACATAAAGGAATGCATTTCATCATAATGGACTCACCTTCTAAGAATAATGTGCCTTATTTTGTGGAGGTATGTACGTCATTTTGTTCGGAATGGTCTTCGACACATTCTTTAGGAATGCTGTAAACTTCATGTTTCGGATGTCGTTCGAGTTTGCGAAAACCGTTATCCCATAGAACCTTTCGAAAAGGCGGGAATCTCTGTCCATGTACGTTCACAAAATTCCATATTTTCTCATTATCGGTTTTCACCCTGGTTTAATTAGTGTTTACTTTGTGGAATCCTCTGCTTTTCGTACCAAAAATGTTCCATCCGGCTATTCAGAAACACAGATGTCACTTTTCTGCTTAAAATACTTCTTATCATGTTCGATAGTTGTTCTTTTGATGTAATCACTACAATTTTATGACCGACGAAAGCCCGGGATGATATCATATCCCCACTGGCCTTTAGTTTCAACCCACTTGTGATGACATTGTGCTGGTTGGCTTACGACTATCTGCATAAATAATATCGATATTAGTCAAGTGTTTCCTTGTCAAAGTGCATCTCGAGTTGATAAAGAGTACAGAGATATCTGTGAATATCATTGGTTCACGGTATAAAGATCCTGTAGTATTTTTTATGTACACATTCCGTCCTTAAACGGAAAAACGAAAAGTGTTTACAAAGATAAAACTGATAATTGTAAGAATTGCTACTTCTGTCACCATTTTTACGATAACATAATGACTATATTTAGTCCTTTTAAACAGTTTAGATAATTCAACTACCCACTTAGTACCTCAACTCCAAACATGATTTAGTCTATTTCCGAAGCGATGGTTTTTCCTTTGAGTTCATTTTTCCAAGTGAGGCTGCATCTAAGTGTGATAAAATACCGTTAGTACATTTTTATTAAAAATTTCCTGAGTTCTGCTAGTAATCACACTACTCGAAATCTGTTAGTTAAAGCTAACATATTATGCAAACGTTCTTCTATCCTGACATCTTGATTTTCTCAACCTCTCAGATGTGTGCTTGTGGTGAAGCATAGGCTGTGTACTGGTGATAACCCTCATGGTTAAGGTTGCTTAAGTTTCCTTTGAGGCATCACATTTTTGACACATTAGCTAATTCATATGATTCGTTCCTCCCTGCATTGATGTTAATAACGTCCCGTACTTTTATAATTTGAGGAAATTACACCCTCTATGCACCAACCATCTTGTATATGACCTAAGTAACCATGTAGTTGCAGATTTACGTTAATTCCTAACTTCCTGCATGCAGTCTTAATCACATCATGCCCTCTTTTAAAAACTGGGTTCTAAAGTCTCGGGATTTTTAGAATCCACTTACCGTAGATCTGTTCTTGAAGGCTTACTTTTAACAACAAGTTATGGTAATCAGAAGTAGCTTACTTCTGGTTGCTCTCTTAGTTTTTTTATAGGTATTTATGTTAAGTAAAGTTCACTGAAGTTGATTTCCATTTAAAGTACTTGTTGTTATTCATCACAAGTTTACACAGATTAATTTATAGCCCAACAGATTTTGGAATTATATTAACTTCACTATTCAAGCGATCAGAGACTGCAGGGGATGGTGCTTACCTGGCATACTATAATGTTACATCAAACACATCTTTCATACTGCAAGGGTAGTTAAATTCCAATAAACTCAGTGTAGTTTCGAAATTTGGAAAAATTAGGTTACTACTAAGGTCAATACTTGGTGCAACTGTTTCACCGACTCACCTACTCCATTTTTATTACTCGGAATTACCAACATTCGTGTTTTAGATAGTTAACAACCTTACAACAAGATACTAAATCACACAGTCCACAACCTGTGCCTTACAGATCTATAGTCTGTGGTATTTTTAATTTTTGTTTTTTTTCCCCTATTACCCTTCTGTGGTTATTTCTTTTGTGTTTTTGTGGTATTCTTTTTATTAAAAAAGGAATTCTTATTTAAATTTTCTTGTTAAATTGTTTCCCAACAAATTATTTCAGGATCCTTAAAAAACCATCTTTTTTTTAAAAATTTTTAGTTTCGTTATTTTGTCCGTTTAATTTTTTCTCAACCAAAACTTTCTTTTTAAAAATTTTTTACAACTAAAAATGTTTTTATAGGGTTCTCTTTCTTAGGAAATAGAGAAAATTGGTTTTAGAATCCCTAAATACATTTGTCTATGTTCAACCCCAAAATATTTGGAAATGCGGGAAGATATTTTTATTGTTTTTCTTGATTCCTCTAAATGTTAAGTACACTTTTTTGTACAATATTCCTTATTTAACTCCATGACCTGTTAAGTAGGCCTGCAACTTGCTTTATCCATATAACCACTAGAATTACCATTGGATACACAGCACTCCGATCAGGCTTTTGGCATGTTGGTGAAGATCTTTTAAGCTTAGGTGTCCATTTCAAAGCAATATCTGCGATTGTAAATCACTTTTAACATCTTATGGAACGGTATGGTTTCAGCTGTTTAATTCGAGTATGCATTAGTCATCCATGAATTTACATATTCTGCTTGTTTTATGTAACCACACTGGTAGACTATGTAGCATGGAAAAATCTTACTGCTTGTGGCAAAAGCTTACAATCTTGTCTATTCTGAGCTTTGTAGTGCGATGACTTTTAGTAAGCATACCGTTCCAGTCTCTGCGTGCAGCCAGAGTAACATAAAGTATGAAAGATTCTCTCACATCACTCGGTTGTGAGTCAAGTAACACCAAAGTTCAAGATGGCATCTTTTAATCGTGCCACCGACCTTAAATTATGAAATCCATACTTTCGTACATCGACTAGTCGTAGACATCACTAGCAGATGTGATGTTTTGAATTTTTCATCCCCAGCATCTTCTGCAATTCACTCTCAAATATTAGTGGTGGTAAGTGGTCTTATAAGACCTTGAAAATTACTGACCAACTCATGTACATCTATTTTTCACAGACAGTTCCACTGAGATATTCCTGTCTGACAAATCGAAGAAAGCCCTAACAAAAACGATGACTGGTTACAGGATTTCATCATGAGTTGACATCGGTTAGAAAACCATTGGAAAACCTGCAGGGAGTACTGGACAGCTGTTTCGTCCTAATTTGGGAATCATTGGCAGTACACAACAACTGGGGTTCGAACCCAGTGCGCATAAGCGTAGGACAAAACAGATGTCCAGTACTCCCAGGATTGCCAGTGGTTCTGTAATCGATGTTAGCTCATAATGAAATAATGTAACCAAATATCTGATTACTCATCAAGGTTGTATGTATTACCCAGTTTTGTTAACTAGAACCATCAAGTAATAGTTGGAGACATTTTTCAGTGTTGGTGAACGTGCAGCTTGTGAATATTTTAAACACTTGTACAATTTTTCCCACTTTGCCTTATTTAACTTTCGTACTACTTTTATTTGTTAGCCATGAAGTGTAAGTTTGAAATGATGCACTAGTATACCAAGTCTTACATTACTTCTATGTTTGTACTAATGTAAAGAATCTAAATTAGTTAAATCTTCGCGAACCTGCTTTATTCACGTGGACAAGCACTCATTGTTCGTTATTCACTTTAAAGTAATATACTGTAAATTTGCGTCTTGAGCAGATTTTTGAGTGGCTTCATAGACATGACTTTCGTATTGTTAGTAGGATGAAAATCCACTTCACTTTGAAAACAGTCAGATAGCCTAAGTCTGTAATATTTTGCATTTAAATCTAATTGGTTTTAATTTTAGCATTGGGAATTCAGTGATGGTTCACCTCCACCAGAAAATATACTTACAGAATGGTTCACACTTCTCAGAAATCGATTCTACGGTGAAAATAATGGTGCTCAGGAAAACTCCAAAAATATAGAACCTGGTCCTGTTGCTGTTCATTGTATAGCTGGTTATGGAAGGTAAGCTTGTGAAACAACTTTTTGTGGAACTATTACTTCTGTAAAATACGTATTCTTTCGAACTGTTTACAGTAACTAGATTAATTTAGTAGGCATTGAAAATTACTGCAACTTTTTCTTTTGTTCCATTCCCTGGATCGTGCCTCTTATTGTGATAATTTTATTATTATTAATATTATTAATCGCTAAAGTTCCCAGTCGAACATAGCGCTTCAACAGCGAACCTCCATTTCACTTCTCTGCAGTATTTCTTAGCTGCCTCAACGATTGCCCTAAAGCTTTCATTTCTTCCCCCCCCCCCCCGTCATGATCGTCTCCGTGTCAACCTCGGATCCACGCTTAACTCGTCCTTTTCCATTTTGGCTTTCACTCTAAGGCCTGGTGCATAATGTTACTCGACAGTCTCCTCAGCGTGTGTCCGATTCACCTCCATTTCCTTCGGCATATCTGTTAGGCTATCAGTTCTTTGTTGGCTCGTTCTCAGAGTTCCTAGTTGCTTATCCTTTTCTACTGATCGTCTAATCTTGAGTGTACGATGGAGCAAAGGCACTTGTTGATAAAATTCTGAAACATTTTTATAGTCACATTAAAAGAGTTCATGTACTTTCCAATCACCAAGTCTAACACCTGCAATATGTTTTGTATAAGATGCCGACGTGGTTCTCTACTCATAGTTAAATTGACGTCAGTTATATGTGCATCGGTGGCATAGCGGTTAAAACTCGCCGACTATGCACATGGTCCGGAGTTCGATCCTCTGCCGACGCACACCTGATATCTATGGTCGGCTTGCAAAATTTGGGCTACCGATATCACATGCTGAAAATTCCATACCTGTACCAAAAATACGGTGTGAAATCAACCTGTAATCAAAATTAAAAAGTTTTAGCAAGGGAATACAACATGATGGGGATACATATTGCACTGCTGACTTTTTAATTCAGAATTGCTTGAATATGATACGTTAATATATTCCTTCTTGAATAAGTACATTTTTAGCTTTTGTTATATGAATCTGATGTTAACTACAGTGTATATGCCTTACTTTCCTTGTTTCAACGGTGAACAGTCAGTCAGTCATTTCTGTTAAACTGGTTTGAGTTTTATTTTAAACACAGCGCTCAATGATACCTCTGTAAGCTAGTGAATAGTTGTGTATAGATATTAAGGTACTTATTATTATGCTACCGTTAAGATGGTAGTATAGATATGCGTGTAAGATGTGTCCCGAAAGCAAAAAAAAGAAGAGTGTAGGCCTAAAATCCACTATCATCTCATTCTCAAATTACTAACTGTATTCCCAACATTCAGTGACCCTCGTGCAGAAGACTATATTTTAAAACTTGACACATGGTGGTGCAATTTTTAATTCTCTCCTCTCCATCAATCTTGTCAGCAGGTTGGTAAACTCTATAATCTATCCGTTTTTGCTATTGACATATAGAGTGTAAATTCTTATTAACCATTATGAATGTGTTAGGTCCTCAATTTGAAAATATCCAAGAAGCGGTCATTTTTAAAAATTAAAAATGAATAAAGTTTATTGAGAATTTCAAAAACAATCTACTCTTAATCTATCATGGTAAGGCATCATCGCTTTGTTTGTACTAGTTATCCGCTGAGACAAACACCGTCAAACGGGTCGGTGTTGTGTCATCTTGAATTGTTAGTTAAAATACCTCCATAGATATCATGACTGACTATGCACGCTGTGTCGTAAATTGATAGAAGTTAGAATTCCTGGGTTGGCCATTAGATCTGGTCCAAGTGGCGGAATGGTCTACGAGCTCGCTATCCTTATAACCAGAAGGTCCTGGGGTCTGAAGCGTGGCGGTGGGTGCGTACTGATGAAGGGTCCTGAAGAGCTAGGACGAAACAGCTGTCCCATACTCCCTTCAGATTTTCCTATGGTTCTCTAACCGATGTCAGCTCATGATTGAAATCGTGTAACCAATCAATCAAATTCCTACCAGCCGATACTTGAATAAATACAACTTTTGCATTAGTATATAGTCAGTGTGTTCTGGGCAGTGATGACTGCCACTCAACTGTCCGCATTTTACAAGAAAGTGGAAACCTTCTACCTGCTCATTTGAAAGACAGATAACCACACAAATCAATGTACTACAGTTCAGCATAGAGTTGAATTTCTTCATATGCACAACTGGCTTTTCTCACTTTCTGTTAAACATAACTAACACTCCTTTGTACTACATCTACTACTTTTTTTAAAGCTCGAATCTGTAATTCATACAATTCGAGGTGGAATTTCATCACAGTTCCCTTTGGAACTGAAACCGAAATTATTCATAACATAATACATACATATTATCTGCTTGATACGATAAATGGCAATCAAGAAACAGAGCATAGATGCTTGCGTGGTCTCATATACTACTGATTTGTTGGCATGAGTAGTTAGACATCATGCAGATTAACCAATAGTGCCTGCTAGCTAATCAGATTGATGGTGTTCTAAATCAATTAGTAGTTATATCATGGCATACTTTATGGCTGTTTGAGTCTGGGGCTTACCTATACTCTGTTAACTCTGATGGATAAGAAGGCATCCTAGTTAGTACACATTATTTTCTTCATCTAATACAGAAATGAAAACAAAACACGTAGATCAGCGAAGAGTCTCTTTTCGGCGAATTCATTTTCTTAGCTGTACAATCGCAAATATATATGCATTGTTTTGTATGTATGTGTACATTAAGTTTGTCAAACAAAGTTACAATTGGTTAAGGTTACTTTTAACTAAACAAGTGGAGGATGGTAATACAGGTCAGAAAATTAAGTGCTAATGAAACTAGGGTAGTAAAAAAACCAATTGTAACTTTGTTTGACAAACTTAATGTACACATACATACAAAACAATGCATATATATTTGCGATTGTACAGCTAAGAAAATGAATTCGCCGAAAAGAGACTCTTCGCTGATCTACGTGTTTTGTTTTCATTAATGCCTGGATGGGGATTATCCATGAATTAATACAGAAATCTATAAAACACAAAATAATTGAGCAAAGAATATCCTTTTCTATAAATTCCTCTTCTGGCTCTACAATTATATATATATGTGTTTATATACATAGAATATTCTAGATTATTAGTCGATAATATCGATTTGTTAAGTAAGATCACAGTGGAATTACAGTTCATTAAAGATACTTAAATAACAATGATAATAATAATAATAATAAAGATATAATAGCGAATAGAATATCAACTAAAATTAGGAAAATTCCACAAAAATTCAGGATCATTCACACCTAGTTGACCAAGGTAATGATAATGTCTGAACTAACTTCTTTTGGATGCATAAGTTAGGATTGTGAATATGGATCTCCACAGCCTCAGCAATATTTAGTAGTCGAAATCTTAAGGCAAAATTGAGATTCGTAGGTATGCGGTAAATGAACCTGAAAGCATGGTTAACGTCAGTCTTTTGAAATGAGATAGAATGGCGCTGCGAATAGATTTTGTTTGTCTTTTGCTTAACCAGGCAGGGTGATGTTCGGAAATTTAACGAGAAACACGCTTCATTGTACGGTCTATGCAACTGGCTCCACAAGAGCATTTAAATGTAATTTCCGGTAATTTCATGCCTACGTAATCTTAAAACTGGAGTGCTTTTGTACAGAAGATAAACCTAACTTGTATATCCTCGAATATATATATATATATATATATATATATATATATATATATATATATATATATATATATATATACGTAAGGCATAATCTATCTAAATTCATGGTTTTGTTAGCCAGTAGCTAATACAATTACCAATCTAAATGTTGTATTACCTAGTTTAATAGTAAAAGAGCTGTCGACGAAAATTTCAGCTGACCTTAACCTGATTAACTGTAGGTTGCGTTATTAGCATTATTATTATTATTTATTTTTATCACTGTTTTGAATATTTAAGTAAATTAGTAGGATTTGTATATATCTATCTATGTATATAGATTTTACAGTGCGTCTTTGTAAAATGTTCCTGTTATTATTGATCTTTTCTCTCACTTTTAAAGTGTTTGTGTATTCTAATGTTGTATATGTAACAGCCGTGTTTATGTGATGTATGTATAAGTGATTGCTAACACAGGCGCTTACATTCCTTATATATATATATATTCAGAGATTACTTTATTGTCCTCAATCTCAGGTTGTATTTTTCTCTACACACAATATTCAGCAGTGTGTTGCTCAGGTGAATTACTTAATTCTATGTCAGTATTTAGTGTACGATCATACAGCTATGCTTTATTCACACTTCATTCATCGATTCGTTGATAGACTTTCCTCATTGTTTCGCCCTCAACCTTGAATACACTGTTTATTCTGTCTACACATGATTGAATTTTCAACTCTAGTGTTAAATGTTAGGATGTTGATCGGCAGAAAAGCTTGATTGGTTACAGGATTTCATCATGAGCTGACATTGGTTAGGGAACCATTGGAAAACCTGGGATTGAGATTAAGCTTCGTGTCCGAATTGTACATACATATATACATACGTAAGGGACCAATACTTTACTGTAGTAAATCTCAACCAAGTTATTTGCCTTCTGAGTAGTGTCAAATGCATCGGTAGCACAGCGGTAAAATGCTCGCCAACCACTTAGGCGGTTCAGGGCTCGGTTCCCGGCCACTGACGCACTCCTTTATCTCGCTAAGCCAGAAATAATGCTGGTAAAGAGGAAGGGTTGAGCATGGGGCTAACAACCCCATCCCGTAAAAATAAACATCACTACTACTGAAACTTCAAGCCTCTAGATTGAAGCCTTATGTTCCACTGGAAACGTAGAGGAATAAAAAAAGTGTTGAATGTGATGTATCAAGTCATAAGATCCACCCCGGTACATGCCATTTGGCAGTCAATTAGAGTTGCAAACAATGTAACCTAATCGAATAATACCCTCCATTCTGGATTTGCCTGATGGGTTCCAGGGAAATTAGGTGTGCTGGTTGTCGTATGAATAACGCATTA